GAAAATAAAGGTTCCCCCTGCCCACATACACCACCTTTCCTTCTACCTCCGTCCCCCTCCCCACCCCCCCCTGCCACGTGCGTCAGAATAGTGGGCCTACACAGCAAATTCCCCAAGTACATCTGCCTTTTGTTTATGCCAACTTGCCTAACGTATATTTCTTCCTATTATTTTCATTCTTTCTCCTTCGCAGGATTTGACTTCACATACGTCGTCTAGCCAGCGAATCGCCTGCCAGCTTGGCTCTGACGTCACGAAAGTGTCTACCAGTTAGAGCTAGCCTGCAACTGCCTGCCTCCTCCGCCAGACGTCGGCTATATTACCACCCGCGCGGGCTGCCCTTAACAGTTGTACCCGCTCAGCCACTGCAGTGACAAGCCGACTGGAAGCTTCTCTTGAAAAGGCTTTTTGAAGTTGAGAAGAACAGTTTGTTTTCTCGCCATTACTTATATTTTCCTCAGGACCAGAAGCACCTGAAATTAAATCGCATTCCGCAAGTTTTGACTGAAGTTGTAACCCATCATTGAAAGAAAAAACTTTTAAGGAAAAGAGTGCCGTGAACTAACATTTTAAAGACTCGCAGTGACAAGACAAAGCAGACAGAAAAAAAAAAAAACACCGCTAAGAACTCATTTCTCCGAACCACCCCCAAAGAAGACCACCAAAGTGTCTCCCTTGCTGCCTCCCGCCCACGTCCCAGCCATGTGCTTCACCAACATGAACGGACCACAAGTAGAGATCTCGGGCGTTGCGACGCTCTGTTTCGACGAGGAGGGCACGTGGTTCCAAGGCTCGATTACGGCCGAGGATGATGCCCAGTACGCAATCTATGGCACCAAGTCGCTGAGGAAAAGGAGTGGCACAGGTGAGGAACTTTTTTCGAGACTTTGTTATTTGCTCCTTTTACTTGTGTTTGTTTTTGTATGTTCTTATGTGCGAGTGAGATATCTACTTATGACTTACCATTATTTGGCATAGTTTTATTATTTTTATTCATAATACGAGGGGTTGGGCAAGGCGAGAAATGTTGGTTTATAATCGTCATTGTTATCGTAAACAGCAGTAGCAGTTTATATTATTATTTTTCAACTATTATTTCTAGTACTATTGTTGTTGCCATTGTTGCCATAAATTACATGGGAAATGACACTGGTAGGAAATATAAGCCATTTTCAATTCAACAGCGAGCTAGACGGGAGAATGAAAGCTAGGCATGTGACAGGGGGATCTTTTTACCTTTGCGTTAACACTATGGCAAAAAAGACTCTGGAAGCTTCTAGTAAACGCGAACACATATTTGATATAAAGACTTCCCTACGTTATTATTTAACTGTTATTCTGTCAGATGTGTTTATTTTTGGAACAGGAAGCAAAAGACATTGTTTTAGAAAACAGATCTTGGCTTCCGTGATGACCGATAAGATTGACAGTAGTAGTGAAAGCCTAAACACCGCAAGTGTATTTTCAGTAGTATTCGTTTGCTTTCAATGATCATCGTTCAGGTCTCGAGGAACATATTTTTAGAATATAATTGATATGAGGGAAGCAGGTAAATTAAGGAGACGAAGAATACATGAAGCATAAGAATTAACAGGCGTGAATATAATGGATAGGATGTAGATGGCATAAATTAGAAAATAGCAATAGGAAGAGAAAGATGAATAACTATGGATGGAATACGCAGACGAAGAAGAAAATGGGGGATAGAGAGACGAGAATATAGCATAGCAACAGCACAGGCAATGGGGGTGACAAACTTTAGCATATAAGCCAAGGCCAAAATCGGACGTTTGGAATGTAAAGAGACAAAGGGGAAGAACGCAAAGATAAGTGAGGGAAGGTCAGGGGATAGAGGGAGAAAAAAAAGTAAAATAATAATAATAATAATAATAAATAAATAAATAAATACGTACCTATTTAATGTAGTGAAGATTCTCGTGTTTAAAAGCTAAGTTTGAATTCACTAACTTGAAAAGTGTTGACCTAAAATCTACCGTATACTTTCAACCGTACATTAATGTCTTTAATAATAATAAAAAAGTAAACCGAACGTCAAGAAAAAAAACGGGGGGGCGGGGGGGAGGGGCAAGGTCACGTGAAAGTACTTTTGGGTCTCGTCTCGCACCTGCTTTACTCCCATACCCACTCTTCCTGCCCCTCCCCCTCCCCCTCTCCCCTCATCCCCTCTCTCTGCCCCATGTCCCTCCCATTTTACATCGTATCTGCTTTGTTCCTATACCCCCCCCCCCCATACACAACACCTGGCCTCCATCCTCATTAATTACCCATACCTATGCCCAGTCTTGTCTACCTTGCCTTCCGTTACCCACTCACGGTCAGTGGGGAGAGGGGGGGGGGGAGATTTTAACGTGTTCTTGTTTCGTTGTTGTTGGTTGTTTGTCATTCCGTATTCTTCTTCATATATGTGAAGTTCTAGCGTTGTTAATGGTTAAGGAGTCTATATAAGAAGTGGTTTGATTATTCAATTCAGATAGTTTCCCGAATGTTATTAATAGATGTGATCTGCAGAGGACATATTTTTAAAGCACTTATGATTGTGTAGTTTTATCTTGATGTATCAGTTCTTATCAGTATAAGCTATACATTGTCTAGTTTCTACAAAACAGTCATACCTATATAGAAGTTTCTTTTTTATCACATGGAATAACAAATGAATATGACTCACAAACTGAACTGAATAAAAAAACAAATGGAAATGCTAAAGTCCCTTTCCCTCCCCCGCAGACGCCTGCGCGTGCCCCGGCCTGGACGCGGGCCCCGGCGTTCCCGTGACCTTCGACATCCGCGTGGTGGACTGCGAGGTGGGCGAGGAGTACAGCCTGAAGCGCGTCCACGGCCGCAATGGCGAGCTGTGCACCTTCGCCTGCTCGGCCATCAGCTTCACGACGGAGAAGGTGTACCGCGGGCAGAAGGCCGACATGATCGCCCAGCGGTGTTTGGGACACAAGATGGCCGGCTCCCGCAACCACGTGTACAAGGGCCCCATCAGGCTCCACTGCATGCCCGTGCGCCGCAACATGCACTGGGTCTTATGAGCGGCCGGCCTTCCCTCGGTGAAGGGCCTCCGCGCCTCCTAGGGTCGTCGTGAACCCACTAACGGGACCAAGCGATCTGCAGCTTCAGCGGCAGATGGCTCTTCGATGCCGAGCAGGTTGAGGAAACCGCCTGCTCGGACCTTCCAGGAAATGCAGGCCGAGGCTTAAGCCTTCCGTCATAGAGGTCGAACTGTGAAATCTGTCTGGCTGTCTTGAGAGATCGCACGCTTTAAGCCTCGCTAAGGTCATCACCGCAGCTCCTTGTTCCACGAAGGCCACTGCCATTTCCCTCACAAACACGTGTCAAAGCCCCCGTCTTTCCTGCCACCAGAGTAGGATGGAGAGAAGCAACCTGCGCTTCTTACCACTGAACTATCCTCCGCCCGCACAGCCTCTCTTGCATCACCAAGACTGTTAAAAAGGGACGTTTCCTTGACCTTTGAAACCATGAATTCCTTATAGGGTGTGAGCGAATGTGTGTCGCATTACACGTGTACTTCTTAACACTTGATTTAAACACGGATTAAAAGTGGTTTATTCCAAGGTAGGAGGGATGGGGAAGGGGAAGCTGTATTTCTTACCCATAACTGATCGCGTCGGTTATGTAAGATAATGTGTTAGTAGTATGTAAGGTTAAGATGATATATCTAATAATTGTCAAATATATAGTAAGAATGTAATGTTTTATTTCTTTAAACTTTAATAAAAAGTATCTAATGTTTGACGTTTTACTCCCATGTAAATAAAAGGGAAATTTATGACCAATCATACTTTCAGACCGAACAATAATCTTCATCAATGGTTTTAGTACGTTTTTCACAAGTGTTTTGAAATCCAATACGGAATAGTCGTCACAAAGTAAAAATATGCAATGTAAATAATCAGCCTCAAATTTCATTACATAACATTTCTAGATTTTATGAACTAAATGGTTACCGTGTAATTGAAGAGATATTATAACACCGTTGAATACTTTTGAACCTGCACCAAATTAAAATAGGAAAAATATCCTCTTTTATTGTATCTAGTCCTGATAAACAAGGCTAGTGGGCAAGAAGTCCATCCCTTCAAAGCACGGACAGACTGGAACAGACATGAAAAGCAGATAACTATCATAGCCATAAAAATAAGCAATAGCAGGAAATGCATAATTCCCCCAAATTCGAATGTATATGTAAACTAGAATGTATATATAAGGACAAATAGCCATCTGATTGGCAAATCTTGCACTTAATGCTTAGTGGGTTAGTGACTCTGTAACAAACTGAGGGACAACCCTATGTATTTTGTAGGGAAGATAACTTTCTACATTCATGGATACTGAAATTATGGTTTAGATTTGTGAATATTGTAAACAGTTACTTGCACCATTTCTCTGGTTTAATATACCAATAAAATTACTTTTACCTAACATTATGTTTTCATGAGCAAACCCTTGTATTTACCATTATATATTTGTAAAAAGGATGTTTCAGTGGCAAAACTGCATTGTCTTTACACAAGTTCAACTCAAGGATGACTTCAAAAAAAATATTTCATTAATCTGTAGAGATAAGTCACAGCCTAAAAAGATTACATTCCCAGAGACCTTCTGTTTGTGCAAATCACCAAATCAGAACTTCAAACTTCAAAAACTTTTTGCCCCTCCTTGGCAAGTTTTCTCTACACTTCTCATTTATTAAATCATTTTCATCATAATTAATGTAAAACTGTGGATTATCACATCATAAAAATCTCAAAACAGTTATGCCACATTGTCTTCTTATTTTAAATATATTATGGACATTGAAAGGAAGGAATGTGATTTTTTGATGAAGATGTGATATCAAAACCTGGAAAAAAGAAGAAAAAAACCTTCATATCACTTGGACATTGCTTCCCTTACAGAAGATACTCAATTCATCGTGACTACCCACAAATTGGTGAAGAAATAAAAACTCCAAAGAAAAAAAAAACAAATTCTTTTAATGTAGCATTTTAACAGTTTTTTTTCCCCCTTCACATTCAGCACACAAAGACGACACAAAGAATCACGTGATGGTCAGTCGTTCGAGGGAATATGCTGAGGAATTCATCTGTGGAGGGAGAACCTTGGCCTCAACGACTCTCTTGACGAGGGGCTCCATGTCCATGAGTCCTTCAAGGAAGACCCTCTGTTTGAAAAGAAAGGACACTTGAGAAAGTGAAAAAAGTGAAAAAGAGAGAGAGAGAGAGAGAGAGAGAGAGAGAGAGAGAGAGAGAGAGAGAGAGAGAGAGAGAGAGAGAGAGAGAGAGAGAGTTATAATAACAGTTATAATGACAAAAATAATAACAACAACAACAATAATAATAATAATAATAATAATAACAATACAAAATCAGAGTCAAACATAAAAAAAAACAAAAAAAAACAATGATGTACCAAAATTTCAGCAACAAATCTACAAAAGAATAAGAAAAATCTTTGTCCATGACTTACCAGATTATTGACTTGAGTGAAGCAAGAGAGGAGGAGCCGGTGGATGTCCACTTGTGACGTCATGACCAGGTGTTGGTACTTTGTGTCCAGCAGCAGACTCAACCACGAACTGGCCTGCGCAACCGAGGGAATGCGGGAAGATTCTTCAGGGACAAGTAACGCCTGGGGGGAGAGAGGGAGTCATAGAGAGATTAAGAGTAAATAAGATTTAGGGGTGAGTATAGTGGAGAATAGAAGTGAATAAAAGTGAAATTGTGAATAGAAAAAATGAGGGAAGGAGAGTGAAAGACACAAGTGAGGAAAATTCAATTTTCATCCTTTAGAATCTCTCTATTTATCAATCCATTTATCAAAATATATATCTAGTACATAAAAGTCCCAGAAACAATGTCAGCAGCTCTCTCTCACCTCTCCGGCAGCAAGTAAGAAGTGCAGGTACTGGATGAGGCTCAGGGCATTATCGAAGCCCAGGCGATACAGCTCCGGAGACAGCAAGATGTCAGTGAAGGGTTTGCGCAACAGGCCGTTAATGAAATGGGCCTTTGCTAAGCCAAATGGGCAGGTGACTTCTGGGGGTCAGAAGAAAAAATAGGTAAACAATATGGAATGGTTTTGTATGAGACACTTGATTCTGATGAGTGATATTAAGTGACCTGTGGTTTTGATTCTTGTATCTTGTAATAATTGGATGTCATTACTCTCTCACACACACACACACACACACACACACACACACACACACACACACACACACACACACACACACACACACACACACATATATGCAGCTGCATATCAACATCTTAATAATAATGACAATAATAATGATGATAATATTGATGATTATAATAATGATAATGATAATGATAATAAAAAATAACAAGAATAATAACAATAAGAAAATAACAATGGTAACAATAAATAAAAATACAAATAAATAAAAACAGACAACCAATGCGCAGCTCTCAAAACGGGCAAATGCCGAAGCCCTCTAAAAACTAAAAACCTGAAAATACCTTCAGGCTCATCTCCCGGAATGACACACTTGGTCTCCATCTGCGGGCATTTGCAGAGGCCCTCAAAATCCGCATCGTCGCAACTCAGGTAGTAGTTGGCAATGTTGACCAAGCAGGCCTCGGGAATGTCGCGGAAAGTGTCGAGAGTCTCGTTGAGCAGCCGCGTCTTCTTCTTCTCCAGCAGGATGTCCACCAGGTGTGTGACTAATCTGGAAAATGATAGAAAAGGAAATGATAAGAACAACAGTGATATATAAGTGAGTGAAAAAGATGACAATGACTATGGTTATTGTGATGGTTATAATAATAATGAGATGCTACTACTATCGACAATAATAATAATAACAAAATAACTTTTTCTGAATAAATTCTCGATTTCCTACTAATTTCCGCAAGTATTCCAGGATTGTCCATTCCAGTGGTTCTCACCCTTTGCAGTCTGGTAACATATTAAAAACATAAATCAGAGCTGTTGTGAGAACCAACTCACGCTTGCCAGATGTGCTGTGATTGGCTGAGAATGTTCGAGTCTTGATTGGTTTAGAAACTGATGTTATAACTGTTTTATTTGAAAGATGAATGTAACAATCCCATTCAGCAACTATTTATTTGTTTTGTTATTGTCAACACAAATTAAAATAAAATGCTCGTCAAAATAAAGATGCATGGGCATACTTTAGGATTTGTGAGTGGGATTATGTGTTGTTAATGCCAAGAACCGCTATAGAGTCTTATCTGTTTATATCAAAAGCTTCTGAAACTTAAAAATAACAAAAAAACTTTGCTGTTATTTCATCTCAAAAAGAGTTCAATACCACTGGTAACCTTTTTGACAACAGACACCAATGGAAGCTTTGCTTTCAGTTTTATATTTCCATTGTCATTACTGAATAAACAAGGCAAGAAAATCAAACAATTCATTTTGTATATCTGTATATCTTACTTCATATATACAATTATCCTGTCATTTCTGGTATTCATCATTTACTCACTACTTTCATTGCTCCAAACAATGAATGAGAGCCTGTCTTTCACCCAAGGATTACATCACAGGGGCAACTTTGGGGTCTTGCACAGATATTAACCTTTTTTATTTATATCCCTTTATTACCTCTGTCATCTAGCTTTCGAGGATCACTCTCAGTGTGTTTTATTTTGAAATTAGAAAAATTATTTTTTTTTTTTTTGTGGCAAGGAAGCTGAATCACCCAATAAATTCTGATGATATAGCCATTATTGCTCTTATTTTAAACTGGATTGTCATCTTTGCTTCACAATTCAAAATGGCAAAGTAAAATGGGCTGAAAGACAATGACTTGCATACTTTCTGGGACTACAATGACTTGAATAATGATGGTCTTGAGCTAGTAGATATGGCAGATGATAGAGTGATCACAAGGATGGAATCTGTGTGGAATCGAAGAAAGAAGGAGAGGGCCAGGAAGAGGGAGAGAGGGCCCTGGAGGGGGATATCAATTTCCCAGGTTTCTCCCTAATCACCACTAAACTGCCTTCTGCACACCACTGGCCTGACTCCCCTTGCCACTTCCCCCAGAAATGAACAACCTCATACGTGCCTCACGAGTAAACGACCTAGGTGATTTATGTCATTACAATCATAAATAATTCCTGAAAAGTTACTTTATTTTGGTATATATCAACAATTTACACACACACACAAAAAAAAACCCTCACATATTAACACAAAACATTACAGACACACAAGCATGTCTCTCACACACACACAGAACTTCAAATATTTCCACAGACCACCTCAAACACTAGCAAAATTCGCCTCGCAGACAAATACACCGACAACCTAAAAGCAAGAAAGAAAAACCACAGAAACAACTTACAAGCTTTCTGTCAGTGTGTCCTTCTTTAGGTCCCTCATGATGTGGGTCAGTTCTGTGCTCTTGTTGGTGTAGATGGTCTCCTGAGCTTCCACGGGTACTGCTTCCTCTGTCCCCAGGTTCCAGCTGCGACAAACTTCTGAGGTATATTCACAATCTTCTGAAATGGGTTTTGGGGAGTTGGCTTAGGTTCTTTAATACACACGTATTCATACAGGCACACACACACACTTTTATGTATGTATGTATGTATCTATCTATATTTATAAATAAATAAATAAATAAATAAATAAATATATATGGAGAAGGTCTGATCATCCAATAAAAGACCAATCAAACATGCAGCCTTTACAAAGAAAAGAACACAGAGAACAAAGACTGAGAACAGAATTCCAAATTTTCCCATTCTTCCTACTCCTCCCACAAACCATTACACTCACCGGAAGCCTTAGTCCCAAACACTGTGGCCAAGTTGGACTCCTTGACAGTATAAGGTATGAGGGCTAGGGATCCCCCCTCGGCCACCACTATCCCGTCGGGCGTGACCCAGGCCAGCGGGGGGTCGTGGTACATCTTGAGCTTGCGGCTGCACACCGTCATGGCGAAGGACAAGTCGCGTAGTACAATCAGGCCACCTGGAATAAAGGGCAAGTAATAAGTAAAAAATATATACCTCTTTTTTTTTTTTTTCTCCTTGGGTCAGGGGAGGGTATTTCTTAATTGTGCTTTTCTGAAAATTCAATTATAGGAAACTGGAAGAAATTGTTTGCGAGGATTGTTTTCAATTTTGTACATATACTTGTAATCCACAATCTCCAACCCACCTAGCCTAAATGCAGACACTTGCATGCGCTCCTCGAAGGGCATGGTATCTTAATGCATATAATGCAGTTAAATCAATGTAATTCTGTGCAGATCACACAACAGGAAAGAATGGTTTGAAGGATGCGTAGGATGGGAGAGAATTAGGAATACAAGGGACAGGGATGTGAGGATTAGAGTGAGGGAAGCTAATATAGTTTTGGGTCTAGTGGAGGATGAAAATTTGTAGAGGTAAATAAAGTACATGGTATGAGGTCAGCCGAGTTTACCTGATTATATTTTTAAAATCCATACATTATGTTTATCTTTGTGAACCAGTAAATTTTATATAACCAAGTCATTTGCTATCATTTTCATTTTAAATATATCTCATATAACTATGCCTCTCAAACCATCATATAACTTGATTTATAACATTGAAAACAAATTCAAATAAAAATCTTATATGCTTAATACACATTTCTTAATATCTCACTAAGTCAAGAGGCCAATAAGCACTGAGTTTTGTAACTTAGGGAATACAAACAAAACACCACACCGAAAAAGTGCAGTAAAAGGCCTCTTCACACTCATCGACTCCCCTTTTTTTTTATATATGTACTTTGGGTGCACCCACACTAGCAACAGACCTCTAAAGGACAGTTGAGCCATCTAACCCAATTGCAGTAGGAGCCCAAAGTGCCACATTGAAGAACCCATCAGGGTGCTTGCAGAGTCAATTGTTTGATGGAAAAAATCATGAGCATGGGAAATGCAAAATTATCACACTGTCTATGCTCTTAACACACACACACA